GCGCTGCTGGCCACAGCAGCTGTCCCAGCGAGCGTCGGTAATCAGCTGGAGGCTTCAGCTGGCGAAAGTCCTGGGTCAACCGCGGGAGCGCCAAGATGATCGCGCTTCGCGCGTCGCGGCCTGGGCCAGAGCAGCTGGCTTTCCCGAAGGGGGCCGACTCGAGTGCGTGAAGGCTCGAAGATAATCGCACATCGCGCATTGCGGGGCGCGACATGCGAAGCTAGGTGGTCCACGGTCGGGAACTTTTGAATAGCGTGCCGCGTCGCCGGTTCTGGCCCACCACGCTGTGGCGTGACACACATTACCCGCTTCCCGACCCACATACGCCAACGTCCAGAGCTTTCCCGAGCCCCCCGCCCCGTGGAGCGGAGCGACACGCAATCCGCTTGCACGGCGTAGCGTGTCGCCGGGGCCGCCGCGGCGACACGTTAGGCAAAGGTTCCCGACCGTAGGAGAGCCGGTCTTCAGGCTGTCGCCCCTTGGTGCCGTCGATCTCCACGGGGCCAGCCCGGGGCCCGCGGGGTGGTCTGCGTGGCCACGCGCGCGCGCATTTAGGCCGCGCGCAGGGCCTGCCCTGCGCACGCAGCAGCCCCGCGCAGGGCGCGCGCTGCGGCAAATGCTGCACCCTGGCCCTTCCAGGGCTCATTTCGATTCCTTCGACTCGACTCGATTCGATTTTGATCGATTCCGATTCCGATTCGATTTGACCTCGGATTCCGATTCGGGCTTCCGCTTCTCGACGGAGGCCTTGAACGTCTGCCGATTTCCGCCGATTCGACGTCTCCCGACCTCCGCCGATCCGATTCATTTCGAGCGCCGATCCGACTAATCGATTCGATTCTGGGCTCTCCTGCCCTTCGGGTGTCGCTACGGGTGGCCCTGGCCCATCGGGTCGGACGAAAGGGTTGGGGATAGGGAAAGGGGGGGGTAAGGAATCTGCTGCATGCAGCTGGTTTCGGCTCCGCCACCAGGCGCCTTTCCTGGACGCATGCGAACCTCTGGCGCCGAGATGCGCAGGGAACACCAGCCAACCAGCCACGTGAGCTGAGTCGCTAACCCCTGCTTTCTTACCCGCTCCCCTGCTCGTCCTTCCCCTGCTGTCCGAGGTGTGCCCAGCCTTTCGCGCCTGCTTGGGGCCCCGGGGCTCCTCTGTGGGCCTCGTGAGGGGAGCTCTTTGTGCCGCCGGGGCCTCCACGGAACTCCCGGGGGCACCTCGCGGACAGGGACACCTCTGGCGACGTCCGAGCCCTGACCCCTACCTGGCGTGCGCTCAGAAATCTTCTGGTATATGCTCGGTGGCGGGCGCTCGGTGGCCACACCGCATGGGTAACGATATAATGTTCAAGATGGTTGTACTATATGTTCAGTTCGGACGTGCGCCTTCAAGGGGGTCGCATAGCACTACTACTACCCTCGACGACATTCGCCTCAAACATGAGTGACGCAGATTGCTTGTCGATGTGATGTTCTGGGTTTGGGTGAGACTGCGTGTCAAGAGCTTGTTGGTGTTCCCCCATCCAACGCCGGCCATCGTTGAACTTCCGAGGCGCACCCGTTCAGACCGCGGTTCGCCCTGCTTCGACCTTGAAGGGGGGCGACATTGCAGGGGTGAGTGGGGGCGACGCTGCAGGGCGGCGCCAACCTTTCTTGATATTCATCTTGTCGAGGTTTGTAGCATGGCTTTCTGCGTCCCATCGACCTCTCCTCCTCCTCCTCCTCCTGCTCCTCCTCCTCCTCCTCTTCTCCTCCTCCTCCACCTGCTCCTCCTCCTCCTGCTCCTCCTCCCTCCTCCTCCTCCTCCTCCTCCTCCTCCTCCTCCTCCTCCTCCTCCTCCTCCCTCCTCCTCCTCCTCCTCCTCCTCCTCCTCATCATCGTCTTGGCAGGTTGGGTTGTGCCGACTGCCCTCGCTACTTGCCGGGCCCGCGATCGCCCCCAGGCCCCACTGCAAGACCGCATTCTGTCAGCCTTGCAGCAACAGGGCTCAGGGTCCACACGACTCGCAGCGTGCATGCGGATCCTATCTCCAACAGAGCTGCAGATCGCGGCAGCCTTGCGAGGTGCGGATGACGTTCTTCTCGGTCCAGACGAATCCCAGGAGTCTATATGCCAGCAGCTTCAAAAGCAGACGGAGTGGCTGGGTTGGTGGGCCGCGCTCGCTCGCGCCGCGGGCAGGGCCCCCACGACAGAGCAGTCACGGAGACGGAGGTCATCAGGGCCATCGACACACTAGGCACCACGGGGGCTACAACCCCGGACCTTCTGCCGAGAATCGTCCTCTTTCTTAGAGATGCCCGTCTGGGCGCGGTCGTCTGGATCCTCCTGAGGCTTACAGGCCCTGGGTTCTTAGCGGTTCGCCCCAAACATTGGCGGGGAAGTTGTGTTGTGCCCCTGCACAAAGAAGGCCTTCTGGACAGAAGATATTCTTTTCGTCTTATCATGAGTAAGTCCCAGATGGGCCTCTTCCAGGAACTCGTCCTGCTCTTCCGTGTCCGCCCAGGCCTGTGGGGTAGACTCACGCCGGGGCAAAGTGGGTACATCCGCGACGTGGGCGACGCCCAGCTCTTATTCCATGAACTGGCAGCGGAGGCCGCCTTCACAGGGATACCCTTGTGGACAATGTTCGGAGACCTCCAGAAAGCATTCCCGCGAACTTGGCGGGGGTCGCTCCTGGTCAGGCTCAGGGACGCTGTGGGTTTATCCGACGGTGTCTTCTCACTGCTGGCTAGCATGTTGGAGTCAGACCGAGTCCACGTGAACTACGACGGTGTCCAAACAGTTCCCCTTACCCACGGGATTGCAGAAGGGGGGGCTATCGGACCCCTGACTTTCCCCGCGCACATGGACACCCTGCCCGAAACTCTGCTCTCCGAAGGGTGTGGATTCGGCATTGGCGCCCGCTGTCCACGGGCTTGGGCACAGCACCAATGGCGTGGCACCGAGGAGCCTAATGCAGAGCACACGTCTGAGTTGCTACGTTCCCTGCAGGAGAACTTGCCACTCCCTGCCGCCAAGGACCTCGCTGCCGACGTGAATCTTGAGGCGTCCGCCCTCGCGGCCATGGACGCCTCAGCCCCACGGCGCCTGGCGGCGATTCTCCACGCGGACGACCCCATGCTACTTGCATTATCCCGAGGGGCCGCGCAGAGGTCGCAGGCCGTGCTTGCGGATTGGGCCTTTCGCCAGAAGACTTCGCCTCACACCAAAGCCACCAAGCATGCTGTCAGGGTCCACGGCGGGGCGCTAGCTAGAACGGCGGGCGGAGCTGCGCCGCCCATTGTCCTCCGATTGCAGGGGATTCAGCCGGTCCAGCTCCAGATGCCTGAGTCCCACAAGTGCTAAGGAACACAATGGCAAGGCGGTCTGCGCTTGGAGCGTCTACTGGCTTCCCGCTTGGGCGCAGCATCTGCCCAGTGCCACTGTGCTACTTTAGCAGGCCAGGTCTCCAGTGGGCTCCTTCCCTTGGCCGTAGCGCCGGGGATTTTCGAGGCGAAGATCGACTCCGTCCTCCGCTTCGGCAGGCGGCTGTTTGCCATGGCGGACGGGGCAGCTCTCAAGCTGGACGAAGCCTACTTGTCCTGGGCGAGGGCCTTCCTCGACAGCCCCCCCCTGGAAACCTGCCGATCCAGCGGTGGCGGAACTGGGATGGACGCTTTCAGGCTCTGGTCGTGCATTGCTCGATGTTGCCTCCCGACGTGCTGGTCTTTGGAGGCTTCCGGACTCGGATTTATACAGAAGTGTCTTCATCCGTGCCCATCTGGTGCCTGGTAGGACTTGGTCGCGCGCTTCCCTGCAGCTGCTCCAGTCTTGGGACCTGCCGGATTGGCCAGCCTGGGAATGGGCTTTCCTCGGGTCCAGCCTGGAAGCGTACGAAGCCAGAGTCAGCGAGCCAGTGGAGGAACGATGCCGCAGGCTCCTCAACCAGGAGCTTGTCAAGCACGTGCGACCGCTACCTTACTTGTCCCTGGGTGGGGGGGTCTGGCAGGATCTACGCCGAGCCCTGTCGTCAGGCCTGAGCTGGGCTGAGCTCCGGGGCCAGCGACCACTCGCCCGATTGCGCCTTTGCCTTGTCCGCCCTGCACACATCGGAGGGGCACGTTCTTGGGCTCGTCGCCGGTGTTGCATCTGCTGCGCGGTCCTCACACACAGCCCCACTTTCCACGTTCTTGCAGCATGCGAGCGGACGGAGACCATACGGCAGGCCTATTGCTCGCTCGCCGAGCGGACGCTCCGCCTGAGTGGGAGGCCACCACAAGGGCGATACTGAGCTCACGACCAGGAGAGGCTGGCTACGCAGAGGCGGCCGCGCTGGCAAGCTTTTTAGAGAAGGCGGAGGCGTCATTCTGGGCCAGGCCACCAGGAGCCGAGTAATACAAATCTCTGCTTCTGCTGGGGTGACCCCCTCTCCCTCCGTTCTCTCAGTCTCGCAGCTGCGCCCTGCGCTGACACGAGGCGGCTGGGAGTACGGGGGGCGGGGTCGCCGTGGGAGGGAGTCGCCGTGAGGCCCCCCCCCGGGCCTTCCCCTCTTCTCCATCGCGTTCGCTTCCAGCGCCAAAGAGCGGCTCCTCCTCCGCGGTCCTGGGAGAAGCGCGGGGCCAGGCTCAGCTGGGCGTTCCTTGGTTCGCCCCCTGTCCTCCCCCTCTTTTTCCTCTAGCCCCGCAGGCGGTGTCGTTGCTTCCCCTGAGCGGACGCTGCGGGGTCGCGGCAGTCGCCATCCTCCGGCGGCGCCCCCACAATGCCGCCTCCCCGGGAGGACACCAACCGACCAACCAACCCCTCCTCCTCCCCCCCCTCCTCCTCCTCCTCCTCCTCCTCCTCCTCCTCCTCCTCCTCCCCCTCCTCCTCCTTCTCCTCCTCCTCCTCCTCCCCCTCCTCCTCCGCCTCCGCCTCTCCTCCTCCTCCTCCTCCTCCTCCCTCCTCCTCCTCCTTCTCCTCCTCCTCCTCCTCCTCCTCCTCCTCCTCCTCCTCCCCCCTCCGTCCATGCGCCCCCTCAGCCTGGCCAGGTCGGGCCCCTTGGCGCGTCGAAGGCTGCCACGGCCGCCGCACTGCTGGAGCCGCCCTCGCCGCCTCGTGCGGCGCAGCCGGCGCCGCAGCCGGCGCAGCGGCCGCCTCTGGCTCCGGTGCCTGGTCGACGGAGGAGGAGGAGGGGGGAGGAGGAGGAGGAGGAGGAGGAGGAGGAGGAGGAGGAGGCGGAGCAGGAGGAGGAGGAGGATGCGGAGGCGGAGGCGGAGGCGGAGGCGGAGGAGGAGGCGGAGGAGGAGGAGGCGGAGGAGGAGGACGAGGAGGACGAGGGGGCGCTAGGAAGAAGAGCGAGGTAGGAGGACGACGAGGAGCGGGCAGCGGGAGGCGAGAGTGCTTGCGGCGTCGGCGGGAGACTTTCGCTCAAGAAAGACGTCAGGATACCGAATTTGTATCAAAAGCGGCTTGAGTCAACAACAACTGGTTGGAGATGCAGAGTCTTTCTTTGACAGTTTGCCGTTGCTGAAGTGCGCTTTTTCGTTTTCGTGTTCAAAAACAGGGAGGTCGTCCAAGACTGCGATAGTTTAGAACATGTGTCGTGAAGGGGCGGGGGGCGTTGTTCTGTTTGAAAGCGGCTGGAAAAATAACCTGAAACAGAGGCTGTTCCGTGTGGCCCGCCCCCGATTTTCAACAGGGGCTTCTTTGGATATATTCCGCGTTCCCCAAAGAAGATCGGAGGCGTCGACTGCGGCGAATTGCCTAAGGGCGGGCATTGCATGCATTCGCCTGCGAGCCTCGACGAAGACATGGACCATCGGCGCCCCTGGATACGTGTATTCTTTCATTCTGGGCTATGTGCCACTATTGTACCGTCGTTTCCGAGAAGGCCACCCAGCAGCGACGACGAAGCGAGACTGCAAGAGGGGGAATACCGATGGGCGAGACTAGAGAACGAGAGCGATATAGAGGCCACGGAGCCAGGAGAAGTGGAGAGTGCAGGCAGCGCAAGCGCAGCGGAAGGAGTAGGAGGAGGAGGAGGAGGAGGAGGAGGAGGAGGAGGAGGAGGAGGAGGAGGAGGAGGGGGGAGGAGGAGGGGGAGGGGGAGGACGAGGAGGGGGAGGGGGAGGGGGAGAAAGTATGAAGTAGAAGGATGACGCCCCCATACATTCTTGGCAGAGGAGACACTGGCATAGACATAAGAAGATAGTTCCGTGCAGATTTCTTGGGTCGGCGCGGGACCCCTCTTCCCTGGCAGCGCCTCTGGCGCTCCCTGGCAGCGCTTCCAGCGCCTGATACGGCGTGCTCCGTGCGACGGGGCACGGGGTCCAGCGCCGACCCAAGACTTGCGCGCGGACTGCGAAATACTTCCGCTAGGATTGCAGGGATGCTGTCCTCCTCCTCTTCCCACAGCGCTTGTGCTGCCTGTGCTCTCTCCTGGTTCTTTTTTATTATTATTATTTCTTTCATTCTTTCTTTCTTTCTTTCTTTCTCTCTCTCTCTCTCTTTTCTCGCCCGTCGGCATCCTTTTCCTGCGTTCTCACGAGTCCAAGCTGGCCCCGGGGAAGGGGTTCGAGATCCCCTGGGGGCCGACCTCACGAAAAGATACGACGTCGGAGGAGGGCGGCTATTGCCTACAAGTATAGTGGTTTGGGTTTTGTCCATTGTTAGGTAAACGGCCCAGAGGCAATGCAGTCTTTTTTTCATCAGTGTGTTGCGGGACTCCAAGGGATTGAAATGTGCATTGATGGGCCCACGCGTGTCGACGAAACTTGTGTTTCCAGACATTTTTGTAGGACGGTTCAATTTGGTCGTGGGCGCCTTTTGGCAGCGTCTTTGGACAGGCAGAAATATTCGTGGCATATTTGTTCGGGATGGTAGGTCTCGTGGCTAACCAGGTCGCGCTAACACATTACAGCTTTGGGGGTCTGAACCCCGCGCTCTTCACGGGCATCTTCGTAACCCTGGAGTCGCATAAGACCCCTGACCTGATGGCAGACCATGTTGATCGGTGCGACGACCATGAAGTGGTCAGATTATCTGGGTACACTTTCTTGCCACATGGCTAGCGACGAAGCGTGCTACCGTACATTGACAAAATGTTGCACCACTTTTGCTGTGCATTGGCACCTGTACTGCATTGCTCTTCCCCCCCTTCCCCCCGATCTTACAATTGTGTGCATGACGAAGAGCCCCTGTTCCGCCCGGGGGCTCCCGACAAAATGTTGCACCACCGAGCTGTTTCGACCAGCCCGGACCGAACCCAATATTGAGATCGGGGGGGAGGGGGGAAAACAAACGATTGATGTAACAGAGGTGCGATTTCTTGTCAGCGCCAGGTGGTGCAACATTTTGTCGATGTACTATACGTGGCAAGCTCATTGAAAGGCAATATGAGTGGTTATTGAACATGTACTTGAGTAGGCGTCGCGTAATTTCAGTTCTCGGGATGGAGCTTGCAGCGCATATATTCGAAAGAGCGTGCTTGTGGCGCACTTTTCACTGAAAGGTGGGCCCCAGCTTCAAGCTACCCCCCTCCCTTGGGAAAGGAGGGGGCTTCCGACGCTACCCCGCTGCTCCCCCCTTTTGTGAGCCAGGGGGGCCCTAGCTACAGTGGGGGGGCTTGGAAACTGCCCCCTCCTTTTTCGGGGCCCAAGGTCAGCTCGGGCTTCCCTTTCAAAGGGGGGAGGGCTTCGGAAGCTGCATTTGCATTCGTTTTGTCGATGGTGTCCACGGCTGTCATTCTCGCCCTGCAACCCTACCTCCTATTTTTCACTCCATTGTTCTGCCGATTTTCCGAGCGGTTCAACGTGTACACGCGGTGTGTTGCCTACAGACTGGCATAGTGCCGATCCTGCTGTGATCGGACTTTGGTGGGTGAGGACCACGCGACCCCTCCTAAGGATATAGTAGCGTTGCTAATTGCCAGATTCCGCCAATGACAATTCGGCTGCTCAGTTGCTGACGCTTTCTCTTCGCAGCCTCAAGGTCCCCACATCGGGGGGCAGCGGATATGAACAAGGCTGCCTAGTTGGTTAGCTCCTCGAGTGCAGGCTGGAAGGGCTTTAGGGCCGGTGACCAGCCCCAACAACCAAATCAATGGGAGCCCCTCGTCCCCCCACTGCGCTCACATGTCCTCCCAGCCAAGGTGCAGGTGGCGGTGTCGCCGTCGCAGGCGACCGCATTGACGGCGGAGCTTCCAGCTGTGCAGCTGGCGCCAGCGGTACCGTCGCTCCCGAAGCCGAACTTTGTGAGCCCGAGGCAGGTTACGGTGGTGTCGTCGGCGGTGCAGCCAGTGTCAGTGTCGCCATTGGTAGTGCGGGTCGCCAAGCCGAGTGCGCCAGCGAAATCTCCGCTGCCCATGCAGCCCTTGGCGGTGCGGCCGCCAGTGGTGATAGTGGCACCGCAGCAGCGGAAGCCAGTGCCAGCCCTGCGGACGGCACCAGTGTTGCAGCCTCCGCGGCCAAGTGCCACACGCATCATCCAGGAGGGGTGGGCGGGGACAGGGGCTGCAGGGTGGATGCGAGGACCACGAGCAGATCACAAGCGGGGTCCTCAAGTAGGGGCCAGAAGTACTGACTATAAAAGCGGACTTCAAGCAGGGATCACAAGCAAGGATAACAAGCAGCGGCCTCAAGCCAGGACTTTCGGCGGGGACCACCAGCAGGGGCAACGAGGCTGAACCTCATGCAGGCATCACGAGCGGGGACCTCCAGCAGGGGCCTCAAACGGAAACCCCAAGCAGGGATCACAAGCGGGTTCCACAAGCACGGGCCGCAAGAGACTGACTACAGGTATATGCCTCAAGTGATTTCAACAACCTTGTGCTACAGGCAACGAACACAAGCAGGGACCGCAAGCGGGGTCGCAAGCAAATCACATCGTCGCGAAGCAACGCCGCTAAAGAAACCTGGCGCGAAGTATATATTATTGCCTGTGATCATGACGCGGAGATTACACCCACCTGCTCGCACAAACATATTTGTTTATTATTGGATGTTCCATCGCGACACACATCTCCTCCTTTGTCGATAGTTTGTAACACGTGCTACCTCTCATGTTAATCCCGGTGAGGACGAGGATGTTAAAGACGTCCGTTGATGGTGGTGATGATGTCGACGATGAGGCAGGCCAGAGGCCGCGACTGCGGATAACGGTGGGAACTTACCGTTTTTGTTTTCAAATTGTTTCCCCCGACCTTCGCGAGTTGCCAGTTCATCCAAGAGTGTGGTTAAGGTCACTTCACACCCGCACGTTGAACAAGCCGATCCTGGGCAGTACCGGAATATTGGTCGACTTTTTATTTCCACCATTCTTCGATTCGTTTTGATTCTATTTTTCAGGGCCCGTTTTTGTTCTCCAGCGACTTCGCGACGCGAGCGCACATGTAGCCGCTGTGACTATTGTTTTCTGGCAGTGCGCCCTTGGGGTAAGCAGATGTCCGCGATCATTTTTGATGTATGTAGAAATGCGCCTGGGCCAGATCCGGCGTCACAGGTCATTTTAAACATTTAGGGCTAGAGTGATCATTGGGGCCACGAGCGTTGTGCAAACGCGTGGGGAACTTGAGATCACCTGTATCGGGCTGGGTAGAGGGAGAGGGAGACAAAGAAAGAGAGAGAGATTGTTATGGAGAGAAAGAGAAATAGAGGAAGAGAGAGAAAGAGAGAGAGAGAGAGAGAGAGAGAGAGAAAGAGAGAGAGAAGAGAGAGAGAGAGAGAGAAGAGAGAGAGAGAGAGATGCCCCCGTGTACCAACACGTAAGTGTATTCTCCTGCTTGTCCGACGTCTGTGGCCACTTGGGCTCAGGCGCTCTGCCGATTCTGATCAACGGTTGGGCGCGGATGCAGGCCCTTGGGCCGTGCGCCCTCGACGCCGCGCGGCGGCGGGCCAGCAAGGTGTTGCATGGGTATGGGCTCCTCGGCCTGCGGCTGCCGCCGCAGGCTGGTGAGCATGAGTTCGAGGAGATGCTCGTGCATGCGGCGGCTGCAGATGTGGGGAAATATACTCATCTGGTGCATCGTAGCAGAACTGCGCGCGATTCTGCAGCCATTCCAGATCTCAAGAAAAGGTATCAAATAACATAGTATCATCCCATGGTAGCGTGAACTAGGTTTGACTTGAGTTTCGATCCCGATTCGAATCCAAGGAAGAGCATCCACCAAGTGAGCGTGGCTCTGCAATACAATGGCGTTCCGGGAACAAATTCAACAGTTGTTCGACGGATTGCAGCACAAGGATCGGCATATCAATCAACTAATGCAGCAACTGCAAGCGCAAAATGCGAACATGGAACAAATGCAGCAAAGTCATGATCAACACATGCAAGGAATGCAGCATTCACATGAGGCTACAGTGCAGGCAATGCAAAGCACCCTGCAACATACATCCGAGCATGTAGCATCGCTTTGGCGCAGCGTGAAATCAATAGGTGGCACGAAAGGAATATAGGGAAACCAAACAACTTTGACAGCGGCATGAAGAAATTGTCGAACTTCAGTGTCAAGTTTAAGAACTTTGTGTCGTCTGCTTTCCGGAACGTTTGTACTTTGATGGATTGGGCTGAGGAGCAACAGCATGTAATCTCGAGTGCAATGGTTCAGAATATTGCTCCCCAGTTTCCCATTGCAGTTGATTTCTCAACACAACTGTACACTACACTTGCGCAGATGACGGACGGCGAAGCGTCCGACATCGTGAAGAACACTCTTGCGGACCACGGTCTGGAAACCTGGCGCAAGTTGTGTCGCCGTTTCGACCCGCACACGGGTCAGCGTAAGCGTGCCCTAATGAGTTCGATTTTGCAACCCGGTCAGTTCAGGATCCAAGAGTTGTCTTCGAGTATCGAACAGTGGGAAGAAAAGCTCCGCACGTACGAAAACAGAACACGCAAGAACCTCGACGACGACATCATTTCTGGAATATTAGTCACCATGTGCCCCCGAAGGTCTTCAGAACCATTTGAATTTGAACCAGTCGAAATTTGATGATTATTCGGACGTACGTGAAGAGATCATGTCGTATCTAGAGACCAAACACGTGAACGCAGACACCTGGGGCACGCCGATGGATCTCGGCTCTGTCGGAAAACGCGGAAAGGACTCCAAAATTTGATCAATTTGCGGGAAGACCAACCACAAAACTGACGAGTGTTATTTCCGCGATTCCAAAAGCAAGGGAACCGGCCCCTGCGGCCGGGACCGGCGGCCGGCTGCGCTGAGTTGGGGGCGCAGCTCGGTACGATCGAAACTGATGGAACAAAGGGGGAAACGGGTCATTAGGTTTTGCGTCGTTTTTCCCAACCATCCTGTGGTGTTGGGTCCTCGTTTTGAAAAGACAGCGCCCCCCGTCCCTCCTTCCTCCCGCTGCCTCCTCCCCCTCCTCCTCCGCGCGCCCATTTCGGCACACCTTTCACACGTTTCGTGGCCCCTTAAGGAGTTCCGCCGAAGGTCCCAGTGGGTGTGCCCGCATGCGTCCCGCACACCCATATCGGCACACCCCTCACACGTTTCGTGGCCCCATACAGCTCCACCGAAGGTCCCAGTGGGTGTGCCCGCATGCGTCCCGTGGGTGTGCCCGCATGCGTCCCGCACACCCATTTCGGCACACCCCTCACACGTTTCGTGGCCCCATGGAACTCCACCGAACGTCCCAGTGGGTGTGCCCGCATGCGTCCCGCATACCCATTTCGGCACACCCCTCACACGTTTCGTGGCCCCAGAGGGAGCTCCACCGAAGGTCCCAGTGGGTGTGCCCGCATGCGTCCCGCACACCCATTTCGGCACACCCCTCACACGTTTCGTGGCCCCATTGGGAGCTCCACCAAAGGTCCCAGTGGGTGTGCCCGCATGCGTCCCGCACACCCATTTCGGCACACCCCTCACACGCTTCGTGGCCCATAGGGTGCTCCACCGAAGGTCCCAGTGGGTGTGCCCGCATGCGTCCCGCACGCCCATTTCGGCACACCCCTCACACGTTTCGTGGCCACATAGGAGCTCCACCGAAGGTCCCAGTGGGTGTGCCCGCATGCGTCCCGCACACCCATTTCGGCACACCCCTCACACGTTTCGTGGCCCCATGGGGAGGCTCCACCAAAGGTCCCAGTGGGTGTGCCCGCATGCGTCCCGCATACCCATTTCGGCACACCCCTCACACGTTTCGTGGCCCAATACGGAGTTCCACCGAAGGTCCCAGTGGTTGTGTCCGCTTGCGTCCCGCACACCAATTTCGGCACACCCCTCACACGTTTCGTGGCCCCATACGGAGCCCCACCGAAGGTCCCAGTGGGTGTGCCCGCACGCGTCCCGCACACCCATTTCGGCACACCCCTCACACGTTCCGTGGCCCCATAGGGAGCTCCACCGAAGGTCCCAGTGGGTGTGCCCGCACGCGTCCCGCACACCAATTTCGACACACCCCTCACGCGTCACGTGGCCCCATAAAAAGGCTTCACCGAAGGCGTTCTTGCGCGCGTCGCGAGGGCTCCGCGTTGCGCTGCGCCCGCAGCCTTGGACTTTGGAGTGCGCGGGCAAAGGAAAAGGAAAAAGGAGGGGAGGAAACGGGCGCGATCCTCGTGTGGGGCGTGCCGACATGGGCGTCGCGGCGCGCGGGCGCTGCCGTCGGGGTTCCCAGGGAAGCCCCCTGCAGAGGCTACGCCACACAATTCGGCACACCTTCATAAGGTTCGTGGCCCCATAGGGAGCGCCACCGAAGAAGATATTCACAATTGCGGTATTCATAACTGCATATGGTTGGGTCCTTCGCCAGGATAGTTGGCTTCCCAGGGCCCTCCACGGGCGCCCCGGGACCGTCAGGCAACGACTGAGGATGAAGAGCTGGTCCTGGGGGAGGACCCCAGGGTCCAGGGCCCGTTTCCCGCAGGACTCGTTTCCCCCATGTTAAAGTGGTCTGCAAAAAATGGGGGACGAAGATTGGCAGCAGTTCCTGATCCTTTTGAACAAGTCTCGCTGTCCTTGCCGCCGCAGGCTTTGTCCAGTTGAGACAGAAGGCCGCCTGCCCAGCAGCGGCCGCTGTCGATTTGGAGCGACATTTGCTGTTGGGCATCGTGCCTATTTTTTCCGTGCCCATCTCGGGCGTCCAAAGCAGCGTGGAGTCAGCACGGGGACAGGCCAGAGCGGAGAGGGCTGGAACGCTCAGGGGCAGCGTCAGCGGGGGGCGACTGACTCAGGCGAAGGGGGGCCGCACATCTAGGCGCCGCACGACTGATGGTTTCTGTTATTTCCAACCATCTTGTGGTGTTGGGTCCTCGTTTTGAAGAGACGGTCCCCGCGTTCTCCTCCTCCTCCTCTCCTCTCCTCTCCTCTCCTCTCCTCTCCTCTCCTCTCCCCTCCTCTCCTCTCTTCCTCCCCATTCTCCCTCGTCCATCATCATTACCATAAACCGTTTCAGCATACCCCTCACACGTTTCGTGGCCCCATAGGGAGCCCCACCGAAGGTCCCAGTTCTACCGTCCGCATGCGTCCCCCCACCCGGTACAGCGTTTCGTGGCCCCATAGGGAGCCCCACCGAAGGTCCCAGTGCTACCGTCCGCATGCGTCCCCCCCCCCTAGTACAGCGATTCGTGGCCCCATAGGGAGCCCCAGCAAAGGTCCCAGTGCTACCGTCCGCATGCGTCCCCCCCACCCACTACAGCGCTTCGTGGCCCCATAGGGGGCCTCACCGAAGGTCCCAGCGCTACCGTCCGCAGGCGCCCCCCCCACCCAGTACAGTTGTTTCGTGGCCCCATAGGGAGCCTCACCGAAGGTTCCAGTGCTGCCGTCCGCATGCGTCCCCCCCACCCGGTACAGCGTTTCGTGGCCCCATAGGGAGCCCCACCGAACGTCCCAGCGCTACCGTCCGCATGCGTCCCCCCCACCCAGTAGAGCGTTTCGTGGCCCCATACGGAGCCCCACCGAAGGTCCCAGTGCTACCGTCCGCAGGCGTCCCCCCACCCAATACAGCGCTTCGTGGCCCCATAGGGAGCCCCACCGAAGGTCCCAGTGCTACCGTCCGCATGCGTCCCCCGCGCCCAGTACAGCGTTCCGTGGCCCCGGAGGGAGCCCCGCCGAAGGTCCCAATGCTACCGTCCGCATGCGTTCTCCGCACCCAGTACAGCATTTCGTGGCCCCATAGGGAGCCCCACCGAAGGTCCCAGTGCTACCGTCTGCATGCGTCCCCCCCCCCTGTACAGCGCTTCGTGGCCCTATAGAGAGCCCCACCGAAGCCCCTGGGACTGTCCGCATGCGTCCCGGAAATTTAATTTGGCATTTTCACCCCACCCAGTACGGCGTTTCGTGGCCCCATAGAGAGCCCCACCGAAGCCCCCAGTGGGAATGTCCGCATGCGTCCCTGAAACATAATTTTGGTATTTTCACACCAACCACTACGGCGTTTCGTGTCCCCGTAGAGAGCTCCACCGAAGCCCCCAGTGGGACCGTCCGCATGCGTCTCGGAAACCCAATTTGGCATTTTCACCCACCCAGTACAACGCTTCGTGGCCCCATAGGGAGCTCCACCGAAGTCCCCGGTGGGACCGTCCGCATGCGTCCTGGAAACCAAATGTGGCACACCCCTCATACGTTTCGTGGCCCCATAGGGAGCTCGACCGAAGCCACCAGTGGGACCGCCCGCATGCGTCCCACACACCAAATTTGGCATTTTCACCCCACCCAGTACGGCGTTTCGTGGCCCCATAGGGAGTTCGCCCGACGGCCCCAGTTCTACCGCCCGCATGCGTCCCCCCCACCCAGTGCAGCGCTTCGTGGCCCCATAGGGAGCTCCACCGAAGAAAATATTCACAATTGCGGTACCCACAACTGCATATGGTTGGGTCCCTCGCCGGGCTCCGGGACTGTCCAAAAACCACTCAGGATGAAAAGCCGGTCCTGGGGAATGGTTCGAGACCTCTCGGTGTTTGCGTTGTGATTGGTCCAGGTCCAGCGGGAAAGCATCAGCATCGACCTCCGATCGCCCATTCATCGCCGATAGGGGCCCGAGAGTCCACCTTGCCCATGATCGGGCGGTTTGGCAATCGGGGGCTTGTCGCAGATCTATCGGCGATGCATCCCCGATACCAGGTCGATGTTCCCCCGCCCGAGCCAGCCGCCCGGGGACGTTTGCCCTCGAAAGCGGAGAGTGCCGAACGGCGCCTGTGCTTAATTTGACAGGCGTGGCGGCGTGGTCGCGCCACCTGGGGCGTTTCAGAAAAGGCCTCGCCTTCGGCTCATCGAGCCTCCGGCGGAAGGTGTCGGAAGGTCGGCGGAAGGCGGCGGACGTCAACGTGAGACCCCACTGTTTGTGCAGTCGGGGATTCGAAATTGGCCACCCGGTGCCTGGTACATCCTCCCACCTGTTGAGCTCTGGTACTACTCGCTCGTGTCTACGAGAGTTTCGGAGTTCGTGGAAGTCCTTACAGCCGAGACGCTGAACCAAGGGCAACCCTGGGCTCAGGGCTCAGGCGGGGCGCTGGTTGTTGGGCCTTTCTTGAGATCTAGGTCGGGGAACGTATTCGCGGCCGAGGTTCGCCGCGGCGGGGACGCCGTATCGTTCCGCATCCAGCATTCTTCTTGGTAGCATGATGAACGTAGGCATGTGCGCACTCTGCAGCTGACGGGATTTTCGGCCGCACCTGATCCCAGTCGGCGATCGATTCGCGCACTGCGTGCTCCTTTCCCCCTCCGCAGCCATTTTGGCTCAAGCTTGTGTTTCTTGCGGCAGCCTTCGAGGTTGCCTGCGCTGGAGCGCTATAGCAGTTTTTGACAATCCTCTGCCTCTGCTTTCGCAGCCATGAGCAGCAGCGGGAGCTTCCGGTTCTTGAACCTCATCAAGCCGATGATGTGCGTCTTGCCCGAGGTGCAGGCGCCAGACCGGAGGATCCCCTTCAAGGAGAGGATACTGTGGACCTCGATCACCCTGTTCGTGTTTTTAGTTTGCTGCCAGATCCCGTTGTACGGCATCGTGACATCTAAGTCCGCGGACCCCTTCTACTGGATGCGGGTGATCCACGGCCACAGAATACCCATATCCACCACTGCCTCGAAGTCGTGCCCCAGGATCTTGCGTACCTCTGGCGGATATGCATATCTGCCCCCTCAGGGCGGGACAGTATCCACATCCACAGCTCCTCAGGGGTCCAGGGCAGGGCTGCGGCAGCTGTGGATGTGGACGCTTCCTGGCAGTGCAGGTGATTCTGGCGTCCAACCGTGGCAGCCTGATGGAGCTCGGCATCTCGCCGATCATCACCTCGGGCATGGTCATGCAGCTGCTGGCGGGCAGCCGCATCATCGACGTGGACCAGAGCTTGAAGGAGGACCGCAACCTGTTCAACGGGGCTCAGAAGCTTTTCGGCATGCTCATCACCATGGGCGAGGCGGTGACGACGACGGCGACGACAACGATGGCGGCGGCGGCGACGGCGACGTCGACTGCGTCGACGACGACGATTACGGCGGCGGCGACGACGGCGACGGCGACAGGGACAGCAACGACGACGACGACGACGACGACGACGACGACGACGACGACGACGACGACGACGACGACTACGACGACGATGGCGGCGGCGGCGGCGGCGGTGGCGGCGGCGGCGCGGCGGCAACGTCGACGACGACGACGACCTCTGGAGGCCTCCCGAGGTCCTGGGACGTTCCCAGAGGTCCCCGGACGTTCCCAGAGGTCCCCGGAGGTCCCTGGAGGCTTCGGGAGGTCTCCCGAGACTTCGGGAGGCCCCCCAAAGCGACACATCGCGCAAGTACCTCGACGCCGACGCTCGATCGACGACAACGGCGGCGACGACGACAACGACCTACGACCACGACGACCACGACGACCACGACGACCACGACGACCACGACGACGAAGACGACAACGACGACCAGGACGACGGCGACGATGACGACGACGACGACGACCACGACCACGACCACGACCAAGACCACGACCATGACCACGACCACGACCACGACCACGACCACGACCACGACGACGACCACGACGACGACGACGACGACCACGACGACCACGACGACGACGACGACGTCGACGCCGACGACAACGACGACGATAACGACGACGACGGTACGACGACGATGAAGACGACGACAACGACCACGACCACGTTCACGACCACGACCACGACCACGACCACGACGACCACGACGATGGCGAAGACGATCACGACGACCACGACGACGTCGAAAGCGACGACTACGACGTCGTCGCCGCCGCCGCGAGGCGGTAGCCTACGTCATGAGCGGCATGTACGGGGACCTCCGCGAGCTGGGCGCTGGGAACGCCCTGCTGATCATCTTCGAGCTCTTCTTTGCAGGCGTGATCGTGCTGCTTCTGGACGAGCTCATGCAGAAGGGGTCACCAGGGACAAGGGCTCGATTCGGCTTCAGGGCCGTTTCGGGCTTCGGCCCGTTTCGGCTTCGGCCCATAGCTGTAGCGCGCCGGAGTCGAAACGCGCCGGAGGCGAAACGGGCCGAAGCCGACATGGGCCGAAGCCGAAACAGACCGATGGAGACGAAACGGGCCAGTGCCGAAACGGACCGAAGCCGAAAGCGGCCTCTTCCCCAGCCCCCCCCCCTCGCGCCGTACTTCGGGGATCCAGATTCTTGGCGCCCTGCTCATAGTCACAGGATCTAGGTTTTTGCCTTCGAGGGGTCTTGAGCGTCGAGGGTTCGAGGATCTAGATTTTTTGAGCCTCGTGGGGCGCCCCCGCCCTCACGGCTTGCCCCGCCTTGGAATCTTGGCCATGGCGCGCGCCCCGTTTGGAGGTTGGCGGGTCCTGGCAGCGGCGTTGGACCCCCGAGGCCCCGACACACAGTGGGGGCTAGTCCAGTCAATGCTAGGAAGACCCAGCAGCAATGAGGTGTACGTGCTAATGTTTATCCGTTGCGACACGGTTGGAGTGATCGTTCGAACACTGTTTGCTGCGAACGATTCCGTGCAAGGCAGTCGCAAGGGGGGCTGGAACCAAAAAGGCTGCGGAAGAACGGTATGCAAGGGACAGTCAGGACAGCCGTGGCCCCCACCGAAATTACGACATAATGCTTTTCAATGTATTCGGCCTCTGCTGAGATGACCGCGGGGGTTGCTAAGGGTCGGCGGCGAGCGAGGGGGAAGGCCTTCTCAGAAGGCGGCGGGACTTCTCAGAAGCCCTCGCGCCTTCTGGGACATTTTCTGTGTCTCAGGGGAAAGCTTAGGAACTTCTCAGAAGGCCAGGGGACTTCGAGCCTTCTGAGAAGGCCCACCCTTACTCACTTCCCCACCGAGCTAGGAAGCGGATGTTAAGGTAGGTAATATTTGGCCCTGTCTAGCTTATAAGTGGGCTATATGTTCCCTTAGGGGGCTAGGGGAGTTTCTGATCTGGGCTAACTGGGCTCCGCCCACTTCGCGGAGTTATCTGGACCTCCTAAGCCACTGCATGCACTTGTAACCCACTTCAAAGCCAGTCGGGGGGCCAAATAAATTCCACCTTAGCATCTCTGGTCTCTGTCCCCTTAGCGACCCCCGCGTTCATCTCAGTGGGGATCGTTACCAGCAAAAGCCGGCCCGGGACGAGAAGCCAATCCTGGGGAAGGGGTCGAGACCTCCAGGGGTGCACGATGTGAAGAAGGCACGGCGTCGGAGGTCTGGGATGCTCGAAAGCCAGGAAGCGCCATGCGGAAGGTTCGCGCTGCGCTGACACGGCGGCGACCCCAGCGCGGGGATTCGAGACTGACTGCCCCGCCAGTGCCCCAGAACAAGTCGATACCGATCAACCTGCGCTACGGTCAGGAACGTTTGCTTAGCGTGTCACGCCGCCAGTGCTGGCCCACCACACTTCGACGTAACGCGCTCAGCGCATCCCAGTGCCCCAGCATCAACGTTCCGAGTTTTTTCCCGGCCTCCCGTCCCACAAAGCGGAGCGACACGCCCACGGATTGCAGGGCGTGGCGTATCGCAGGGACCGTCGCCACGACACGCCAAGCCAACGTTCTGGACGCTCTCGGAAAGCCATGGTCGCTCATGGTTGAGCTATCCGCGTGGTGTCGGAGACCAAGCAGGGGGCGCTGCCCGCAGGAGGCGCTGCCGCAGCCCTAGGACAAGCCCCAAAAAGATATTAACCTGGGTTTGTAATGTTCCGGGATTACTGACCAGGGTTCAGAATGTCCCCCTGGAACATTATGAATATGGGTTTTGATGTTCCCGGACGTATTGATTGGGGTTCATAATGTTTCCCCCGGAACAGTAGAAAGCTTGGTTTATAGTGTTCAGGGAATATCGGCCACACAAAGATATTAACCTCGGTTCATAATGTTCTGGGAAAATTGACTGTGATAAATAATGTCTCGGGCATAAAGAACTCAGGTTGATCATTTTGGAATGATAATAATGGGGGCTGAGGGGTATCCGGATTCATGATTCCGGAATGATTATAATCATTTCCCCCCCCTCAGCCCCGCGCCTCCAAATTGGGATACACTATGTTAGAATATTGCCCCTAGTCCATTCTATCTAGAACATCATAAACTTGGATTCGTAATGTTTCGGGAATAATAGACTCAGGTTTGTTATATCGGAATGATGATGATGATTCGGCGGAGGGGGGGCGCCTGAGAAGGAGTTTGGATTGGGATCCACCCTGGTCCATGATGTTGGGAAATCGACCCCAGATGCATTATTCTGGAATGAAAGTGATCCGGCGAGGGGGGAACACCGATCCATCCACAGGACAATAATCCAATGTGGGTATCGTCTGCACATAGCGAACCTCGGTTTATCATTCCTAGATAGTACACCACGGTCGACGTGGATTTCGGGGCCACCCTCCGCAGCCCGTAGGGGGCGCTGCCCCAGGCCGGTCTCAGGGCCCTCGTAGGGGCCCCACGCCCCCGTGTTCCCCTCTCCCGCCCCTACGAGCAGTGCCGGCGTCGAGAGTTTATGCCCGCGCGCATTTGCAGTGGGAGGGAGGAGGCGAGGGTGCTTGGCATCGCTCGGACGTGTGCATTCCTCCCGACGAGGACCATCGAGGAGCATCTTGGATCATCTTGCGGCACAAGAAGCGCACGAAGCCGAACAACGCCCGGGTAATGGACGCCCGAGCGATGGCGAGGGTGTGGGGGAGAGAAGTGCCGCGCCGACCCAAGATATCCGCGCGGACCCTCCGACAATGTGTGCTCATGCCGATTTGGGTTTTCAAGGTACGGCATCGGATCGGGGATCTCGCTGTTCATCGCTACCAACATCTGCGAGAGCATCATCTGGAAGGCGTTCTCCCCCACGACGATGAACACGGGCAAGGGCACGGAGTTCGAGGGTGCCATCGTGGCGACTTTCCATTTCATGGCGTCGAGGAGCGACAAGGTGACAGCCTTGAGAGAGGCCTTCTACAGACAGTCTGCCCCGAACCTGACCAACTTGTTTGCCACCGTCCTGGTGTTCTTCATCGTGATTTACTTCCAGGGCTTCCGTGTGGACCTGGGTGTGAAGTACCAGAAGATCCGCGGCCAGCAGGGGTCCTATCCGATCAAGCTGTTCTACACCTCGAACATCCCCATCATCCTGCAGACGGCGCTCGTGTCGAATCTGTACTTCTTCTCGCAGCTGCTGTACCGGCGTTTCAAGTCCAACATGCTGGTCAACCTCCTAGGCCAGTGGCAGGAGATGGACTACGGCGGCCAGTCGATCCCTGTGGGAGGCCTTGCGTACTACATGTCGCCGCCCCGCAACGTCTCCGACATTTGGGAGGACCCGCTCCATGCCCTCTTCTACGTGGCGTTCGTGCTCCTCTCATGCGCCCTCTTCTCCAAGACGTGGATCGAGGTGTCGGGGTCGTCCCCCCGCGACGTGGCAAAGCAGCTGCGCGACCAGCAGATGATGTTCAAGGGGCACCGCGAGAGCTCCCTCGTGCACGTGCTCGAGATGTACATCCCCACGGCGGCCGCCTTCGGCGGCATGTGCATTGGCATGCTCACCATCGTCGCAGACTTCCTCGGCGCCATCGGCAGCGGCACGGGGATCCTCTTGGCGGTGACCATCATCTACCAGTACTTCGAGATGATCTACAAGGAGAAGGAGCAAGGCAACATGCTCTTCTGAGCGCCGCGCGCACGAGGAGTGTACAGTGGCCAAGCCGGCGGAGGTGCGGCGTTGGAACTTCTCGTCGTCGTCGATCGAGGGTCGAGGATCGAAGTTCGAGGATCGAGGTTCTGGGTCTTTCTGGGTCTCGAGGGGCGCCCTCGTGGCCACGGCTGGATCCTCCTCGGAGTCATGTCCAGAAAGTCATCCAGGACGGACGGCGTACGGAGGCCTCTGGAGGCCGCTGGAATCTGGAAGCGTCCAGAGTTCTAAGGAGCGCCGGAGGCGGAAACATGACTTGATCCTCGATCCTCGGACCGCGGACCCCGAAGCTCGAGGAGGAGTAGGAGGAGGACCCGCGGATTGCAGGGCTCGGTCGTTCATTGAATCGGCCTCACACGGCCCTCGCCCTCCGCTTGGGCGCCAGAGATTGGCCCCGGCCGTCCCCGCGGCCTGGGGGGCGATGAGGCCGCCGAGTGAGCAGGCTTTTTCCATCGCTCACGACTGTTATTACCTATGCAGTGCCGCATCCTCCTGCCCCCGCCGACACGGCTACAAACAAGAACGGGAAGAGAGGGGGAGGAGCGGAAGAGGCAGGCGGAGAGGGCTTCTCCATCTCCTGTTCCTTCTTCTCCCCGCCCCCTCCACTACAGCGTCCTACGACGACGACGACGACGACGACGACGACGACGACGACGACGACGACGACGACGACGACGACGACGACGACGACTATGACGACGACGACGACGGCGGCGGCGGCGGCGGCGATGGCGACGGCGACGTCGACGTCGACGGCGGACGACGACGCAGTGCGGACGATTCATGGGGGGGAGAAGGGCGGGGGTGCTGCGTATGCCCGCTGTAGTCGTCGGCCACGACGGCGACGGCGACGGCGACGGCGACAGCGACGGCGGACGACGACGCACTGCGGATGCTCCATGGACGGGGGGGGCAACGACGGCGGCGACGACGACGACGACGACGGACGACGGCCCACTGCGGATGCCCTGGCTGCAGTCGACGACGACGACGACGACGACGTCGACGACGACGACGGCTGCGACGACGCGACGACGACGGCTGCGACGACGACGACGCATTGCGGATGCCCTATGGGGTGGGGGTGGGGGGTGTGCTGCGCAGGCCCGCTGTAGCCAACGACGACGAGGACGAGGACGAGAACGAGGACAAGGACGAGGACGAGGACGAGGACGAGAACGAGGACAAGGACGAGGACGGGGACGAGGACGAGGACGAGAACGAGGATGACGACGACGGACGACGCTGGCGACGGCAACGCACTGCGGATGCCCTATCTACATGGTGTGTGCGTGTGCTGCTTAGGCCCGCTGTAGTCGACGACGACGACGAGGAAAAGGACGAGGACGAGGACGACGACGACGACGACGACGACGACGACGGCGACAGCGACGGCGACGATGACGGCGACGGCGAAGGCGACGGCGACGGCGACGAAGACGAACACGAAGACGATGATGTCGAAAACACGACGACGACGCATTGCGGATGCCCCATTGGCGACGGGAGGGTGCTGCGTAGGCCCGGCCCTCTGTAGGCGACGACGATGACGACGACGACGACGGCGACGGCGTTTGCGACGGCGACGGCGACGGCGACGGCGGTGACGACGACGACGAGGATGAGAACGAGGACGAGGACGGCGACGACGAGGACGAGGACGGTGGACGAGCACGAGGACAACGACGACGACGACGACGACGACGACAGCGGCGGCGGCGGCGGCGACGACGACGACGACAACGACGACTGGTGGCAGTAATTTGCCTGAGAGGGGGAAAAACTTCCCCTCGGTTGTATACGATCCTTACTACAACTTCTATACAAAGGGCAATCGTTTTCAGGCTGCCGTGCAGGCGGGTACACGATCCTCTCGACGGCGCCCGCGACGACCCCCTGGCGCGCGTGAGTAGAAAATTGTTTCGCGCCGCGTGGGATCTATTGATCAGCAACAGGGGGGGTCTCATTTGTTAATGACAGGCTGACATTCCCTCCTACCTCCTACCTCCTACCTCGTGACTCCGACCTACCTCCTGCCTCCTACCTCCTACCTCCTACCTTCTACTCCTCCTCCTCCTCCTCCTCCTCCCTCTTCCTGCTCCCTCCCTTTTCTTCCCCCTCCTTACTCCTGGCCGGCGGGAGGCCCCTGGCGCGGGCCCGGCGGGCAAGCCGAAGCCTCCGGCGGGGCCCCCGCCATCGGCGCTGGTGTCCAGGGGGGGGGCCAAGGTCGTTGCCGTCGTCGTCGCCGCCGCCGCCACCGCCGTTGTCGTCGTCGTCCTCGTCGTCGTTGTCGTCGTCGTTGTCGTCGTCGTCGTCGTCGTCGTCGTCGTCGTCGTCATCGTCGTCGTCCTCGATTTCGTCGTCCTTGGAGGATCATTTTGAGGGGGAGGGGGTCAGGGGTCGCGCTTGGGGCACTTTCTGAGCCTCGGGAACTCTCCAATGGCTTCGGGGACCTATTCCCCCTCCTCTTCCCCTTTCGTCTTTGGCGCGGTGGAGGGGTCGGGGAAACGTATTAGTTTGCCGGATCCCGGGTTCGCCGCCGCCTCTTGACGGCACCGGTGTGAGTTTTTGACGGGATGTGATTGCAGCGGGAGCTCGCGTCGAATGTTGGACTGGGTCCCGTCATTTTTTGGATGGCCCCGACGTGCAAGTCCGCGCCTCCCCGATCGCGGCCGTCATCGCCTCCGTCGCCGTCTTTGCTGTTCCCAGCGGGGCTGCAGAGGAGCGTGGAGGAGGTGGAGGAGGCGGAGGGGGCAGAGGAAATTGCGGAGGAGAAGGACTAGCACGCTGCCCCATATTGAGCTCGGTGTGCAGTCGCCAGGGAGGCGCGGGAGGGAGGGAGGGAGGGAGGGACGGAGGGAGGGCGGCAAGGAGGGAGGGAGGGAGGGTTGAAGCGAGGAGGAGGAGGAGGAGGAGGAGGAGGAGGAGGAGGAGGAGGGAGGAGGAGGAGGAGGAGCAGGGAGGCGGAGAAGGCGGAGGCGGAGGAGGAGGAGAAGGAGGAGGAGAAGAAGGAGGAGGAGGTCATAAGGGTCCGCCTCGCGCTGTGGTGCCCCGCGGCCCCGCCGCGGCGGCGCGCACGGCGCGCTGGTTTCGGCGGCCCGATTCTGGGACCATCCGCTACAGCTCCGAAGGAACGAATAATATGATGATGATGATGCTGATGATGATGATGATGTGGAGGAGGAGGAGGAGGAGGAGGAGGAGGAGGAGGAGGAGGAGGAGGGAAAGGAGGAGGAGGAAGAGGAGGATGAGGAAAGGGAGGAGGAGGAGGAGGAGGAGGAGGAGGAGAGATAGGGAGAGGTCGCAACACTTCGGACAGCAGGTGTGTGCTCCGAGGCTACTAAACGCCCCGCAGGCCTTCCTCGCAAGGCGGGAGGCGCCGCTCACGTAACAGGGGTGGTGGGATAACCTCACCCCTGGCGCGGTCTGTGGGGACCCCGACTGGAAGAACGGCGGGCCGTGGCGACCACGGTGTGGCACACCCCGTCTGCACGCCCGAGACTGCAAGAGGCTCCGGCTTTTAGCACGCTGTGGCCTGCGCGCTCCGGAGCCCTGGGAAGTGAACGGCGCCGCCTTGGGGAAGCCCCTCTTCCGGGCCAGTAAGAACAGTCGACGGAGCAGGTGCCAATTGTTCACGTAGCCATTTGGTGGAGGGGTTGCTAGCACTGGTGTGCTGCACGTTGAGCGTCGATAAAGGCTTGGAGGTTGCCGTGAAGGGACGCGACGCCCCCAGGGCCACTTCCGGCCGAAAGGCCTGTTGCAGGCCGCTCCGGGCCTCTTGCGCTCGCTGGGACCTGTCGAGCAACGGGGCTGACTCGCCCTGAATCTGGTGAAGGGAAAGCGCCAGCTGATTGGTTCGCGAATGGGGCGCATGAATATTGGCGATGAGGTCCTGCGGACATCTTGGTGCTGACTGCTCGCCGCAGTGAGGTGCTGCGTGAGGGCTTGCATGCCTACAGTCCGTGCGTTGGGCGGCACTGCTGGCGTGATGGCCGTCACCCCTCGCCTCTCGGCCACCCCTCGAAACTCCGGTCTGCCGAATGGGGGGGCGGGTTGACGTGGAGGTTCGGGGCAACCACCGGGCTCTGACGCTCCTGGGCGGTCGTCGATTGGCCGAGAAAGGGTGATCCTCGACTGCGTTGTCTTCGCCTAGGAAGGGGCTCTGAGGAGGGAAATCGTTTGCTCCGTCATCATGGTGCGAGGCCCCAAGCCCGAGCGGGTCGAGGCCCTCCCCTTCGAAGTCGTCTGGTGGTGGCGACCAAGGGTCGTCGAGTTCGTCGAAGCGATCCGGTCCTGGTGGATCCCCTGGCTGAGGTGGTCCTCCTTGTGCGCCTGGGTCCTGCCTCCCAGTTCGATGGTGAGCGGGTTCGGAGTCATTTTAGAGAGCTCCGATCTGGAATGCACGCTTCTCATGTTAGGCAGGGGGGGCGTCCGATATCGCCGGTCGTAGATGGCGACGGCCGTGCTATGGAGGACAGCGGCAGCGTTGCCATTTGGCAGCGTCGACCAGGCATTGTGGGACACTGTGGAGCCGTGCCCCCGCGGTGGCGAGTTAATCAACGTGACGGTTGAAGGCTTTTGTGATAAGAGTGATGCGCCTTTCGTTAATGCCTTGCTCCCCCTGATGATTTTCCACCCTCTGAACTTTGAACAAGTCGGGCTGAAACCCACGGTGGATTTTCTGCCAGAGGTCTGCTCGAAGCCCCACACGCTGCGGTGATTTACCCCTTGAGGAGGTCTTCGAACCCGTCAGCGACCGCCTGGTTGTCGACAAAAACATGCACCAGTCGTTTTGCCGTGGCGACAGGGTGAAGCATGGCAAGTGCTTCGGCCCGCTGCGGCGACTGTATCACACCGTACGGACCGAGCTTGAGCTGGTGACTTGAACCGTAGTTAGCAGCGACCGTCAAAGAGACCATCCTTAAACCAATTTCGCTGGCACTCAGCTTCGGGGAGATCAGGAATCCCACTTCGGCGGTCTCCTACCCTTCCGCGTCTCCAGAGAGCAGCAATCAGAAATCGTGGTTCGTGATGTCGTAGCTTGGCTCTGATTTTTGAGTTTCCCGCAGTGCCCGAATCTCGTTCCGAATCTCTATATATATACCCATGTTTTCCATGTAATCTTGTAGTTCCTCCAGCTTCGTCTCGGTGAACCCCTCCACGCTCCAGGAGCCCATGGCCAGATCCCGCCCACACGGTCTCAGCCGACTGCTCCGATCACCCTCGAGGTCTATCCCCGGATCGTGCTCACGATGAGATCTAGATTTATGTACAGAAGTGTGAAATGAAGGATTCGCTTGTCCCGAACAGTAGTGCTGCCGACTGCGGGCATCAAATCACGAGTCGTGCACTCCAAGTGGTTTAAACGATGGGTCATACGTGCAGATGGCCGACTGCAGATGAAACGTCTGGAAAGTGATCTTTTTGTCAATTGTCCGCGGGCCCTCGCCCGCCTCCCTTGGCCACGCCTTTCATGCCGGCTGCCGCCCTGTATACGATCCTGGCGCACTTGGCTTTCAGCTCGATGACCAGTGCGTGCTGGTGCAACTCGTCCCAAGAAGCCCGCTCGCCCTTCCAGTCGTATTCAAACCCGGTCTTCGTGAAGTTCGCCGTGAGAGCATGCTCTTCGTCGGTAATCAATCGGAATTGCGTATGGCACCTGCCATTCCGTCTTCAAGATACACTCGAGGCCGAACCGGAAGAACTCAGTCCCCTATCTTTGCATCAGGAATAATCTCATTTTGGGTGGTTGGTTTGATACATGTACTGAAAAGGCTCCCTCTCCTTCGTGTTTTTGGCCTCTCGCCTCAGGTCCGCCGCTCCCAACTGGTGAGGGGTCCCTTCGTTGCTGATATTTCGGCTTAAGTCGGGCCTGTCCCTCTACAGGGGTAATATTCAAAAACGGTGAAAATTAGTCCAGCGACGATGTTTTGACCATTTTCGAATCTGTTTGGGGTATTTACCTAACAGCTCTTGCTGATAGGTTTCTAGTGGTCTCAAAAGAGAGAGAGCATCATGACTCCTAAGGGGGGTCTGGGCGGGACCCGGAACGGCTGCCGCCGAAGCCGAAATCGCTTGGGACATCCTCGCAAAATCGCTCTTGGTACTCCCAGAACTCCATTCCCGGGCCACATTTTGGATGACAGGAGCCAACTGTAGGCCACTTCGTGCTCTTCGACTTCCCAGAACTCCATTCCCGGGCCACATTTTGGATGCCCGGAGCCAACTGTAGGCCACTTCGTGCTCTTCGATTTCCCAGGACTCCATTCCCGGGCCACATTTTGGATGCCCGGAGCCAATGTAGGCCACTTCGTGCTCTTCAAGTTCCCAGAACTCCATTCCTGGGCATGATTTTGAATGCCCGGAGCCAACTGTAGGCCACTTCGTGTTCTTCTAGTTCCCAGAACTCCATTCCTGGGCCACATTTTGAATGCTGAGGCAGGCTGATGCTGCGGCCGAGGCAGGCTGAGGCTGAGGCAGGCTGAGGCTGAGGCCGAGGCTGAAGGCAGACTGAGGCTGAGGCTGAAGCAGACTGAGGCTGAGGCTGAGGCAGGCTGAGGCTGAGGCTGAGCAGGCTGATGCTGAGGCAGGCTGAGGCTGAGGCTGAGGCTGATGCAGGCTGAGGCTGAGGCAGGCTGAGGCTGAGGCCGAGGCTGAAGGCAGACTGAGGCTGAGGCTGAAGGCAGGCTGAGGCTGAGGCTGAGGCAGGCTGAGGCTGAGGCTGAGGCAGGCTGAGGCTGAGGCTGTGACTGCGACTGCCGTTGCCGCTGCGACTGTCATCGCGAATGCGACTACGACTGCGAGAACAGCAGAATTCGACAACTGGATTTTCATCTGAATCTTAAGGGGAATGCTTTCAGATATGCTTCTACACATCGCTGTTAGGTTGCTTTGCCGGGATAATTTTTTGGGGTATTTTTGATTTTTCGCCCAAAATGCTCTGTAGGGGGACAGGCCCGACCTCAAAATTAGGCGGGCTGGATGGCTCAGGGGCAACGTCAGCGGGAGGGTCTGGCGGGGGGGGGGGGAGGGCGCTCTGACACCCTCGCGCCCTGAAGAAGCAGCATGAGGGACGGTCTTTGCTGTTTTTCCCCATATCCTAAGGATTGGGGTTCTTGTTATTGCTCTGACGCCTCCCACTGCTCCTCCTTCCTCCCGCTCGCGCCTCCCTCCTCCCAGTGATAATCACCAGAAAAGACAAGACA